GGAATTAAGGTTTAGGGTTAAGGGGCAGGGGGACTTAATAAGTAGGTTAATAAGGGGGAAGATCACGGTTACCCTGTGGATTATAGCTAGACAGCAATAGAAGGCAGACGGATGACAGATCTAGTAGCCTTGTTGGAAGCCCCATGCATCTCCTACCCATGCTTCTTTTCACTATATAACCCCTGTATAACCTATTATGGTACTTATGGTAGTTTCCAGTTTCTTTTCCATTGCCGCTAAGGATCCTCCATGTGACGCAGGAGGCCTACATTCTGAACCTCTCAGCATGGCAGAACCTGATCTTCGGCTGTCCAAACCCTCATACCGTTGACCCGCGCCGGGTCCGCAAAATCTGCGAGCGCTTGAAAATGAAGGTGGGGGATTGTCAAAATTATGGTCCCTTTTTGGGTCCTCTTAATTAGGCCCCGTATTATAATAGGGACCCCAAAACGGACCAGAATTTTGACAATCCCCCAGGTGACCTTACAGCTGATCCAGGCAGACTTGGAGAAACAGGAGAAGCTGCGAGGAGACCCAGCAGGTTCGGATGAAGAAGAATCTGAGGAGGAAGAGGCGGAGAAGGATTTCAAGAAGGGTGCAGGTGGTGCTTGGCAAGACAGCCTCACCTACTCGGAGAAGGTCAAGCTTCACCTTGCGCGAGCCCTGATCATGAATCCCGAGGTCCTGGTGCTGCAGCGACCGCTGATTCTTGGCTGTAACCAGTCATGGAGAATTTCATGGAAACGAAAATAGCACATGAAACGTAAACTGGGGTTGTCTCATGTAGTGGTTTCCGAGGTTTCGGGCTAATGAAGAAAACCCAAGTTTCAAACAGGTCACATCCAGCTTGACCAAAGCTGGTTGCATCACAGAGCCGTTTTTGCCTCAATGCTGAAGAGCTTAACTCCCAAACTGGCAAACCCTAATTCATGTCATTCTGGGAGTCTCCATAAGTAAGGAGCCCGCACTTGACCCCAATATACTCCAACCCTTAATAATTATGGGGACCCCCCCAACCCTAAACCCTAAACCATCAACCAGCATGGGGGCACCCCCCAAAAGCATCCTCCAATCCACATGGTACTTTCCCAAAATAAGGGGACCCCAATATAGGCCCAAAAATATTACAGTCCTTATTATAGGGACCTCCAAAATGGTACCCCTAATTATGGG